TCCCCCCCCCAAATTACTATCAAGGGAAAGACCCTCGGAGGTGCTTGAACACTTCCCCTACTTCAGTAACTACCTCTCTCAAAGAGTGAATGTTGAGGAGGAGATCCAGCACAGGATCCGGTATGCAAGTGCCTCCTTTAGGAAATTGCTTTGGTGTGTCTTTTATTCATCACAATCTCCAGAAAGACACCAAGATCCAGGTGTACAATGCAGTCGTCATCCCCACTCCCCTTTACAGATGTGAAACATGGGTGACCTACTGCTGTCATCACAAGAGCCTGGAGCGGTATCATTGATGATGTCTCTGCATCAAATGGGGGAAGATCACCTGCATCAAATGGGAAAATCACCACACAAATGCCAGTATCCTTGCTGAAACCAGTAGTACCAGCATTGAGTCGGTGATCCTCAAGCTCCAACTTCACTGGCCTTTCACTTCTCATCATGTGTGTGGCTGCCTGACTCTCAACTCCCAAAACAAATATGCTACTCCCAGCTTAGTAATGGCCTGAGATCTTGTGGCATAGGGAAATGCTACAAAGACGCATTGAAGGCATATCTCAAGAAAACAGATGCCGACATCAAAATTTGGGAGCAGCTGGCTGCTGGCCAACTCCGATGGCACTGCAACCTCAACTAAGGGACAGCCCGTTTTGAAATAAAGTACCATGCCCATATAGCAGAGGAAGGAAAAGGAGAGAAATCCCAGCCTGCTGCCTACTCTCCCATGGAAAGACCTGCAACTTCTGCAGCCGGGTCTGTGGCTCAAGGATTGGACTCTTAAATCGTCTTGAGACCCATCAGTGAACCATGGTAGAGATCATACTCAAATCAAGGGATTGCAGATGATGACAATGAATGTAGGCTGGAGTGAGAGGTACGTGGCACAGTTCCATCTAACTGCTGCAGCAGCACCGGTGCCACAGGACCCTTGAAAGAGTGTTGCACCCCCTTGGCTAGCATTGCTGCCTTATGCCATCTCTGTACTCGGTATCTTCAGGATCAAAGACTGTTAGAATCAGGAAGAATTAAACAGAAAGCCTGACTCACCATCAGTGACCTGTCTAGAAATGCCCAACTTGAGACCTGCCTACAATCCCACTCAAAGGATCTGTACCTTTTCCTTGTCCCATCTGGTGAGCATTAATTTTATTTTTAGCAAGGATGGACTATATCACATTGATTGCTAAGTCCTGGAAGTCATTAAGGTTGGAAACCTGATTTGTCTCTTTGCTCCCTGTCAACATTCACTATTCTTTCCATGGGGGTAGGTCTATTATCTGAAGAGTCACCAGTTCTTGCTCTCTTCCAAACACAGAAGGCTTTCTAGATCCCTCTGTTTCCTAAATTTCCACAAAAAGGACAGCTTTTTCTGTATTTTGAGGGAACCCAACATACTCGTTTTAGAGTCCAATTCAAAATAGCAACCCTTTCCTCTATCCTGAAACCTCAGAAGTAGTTTGCAGCTCTTGGCCCCCAAAATACATTTCCATATTTTGATGCATCTAGTCCCCAGGGAATTCTGAAAGTTCCTCGCAGGAATGCCGCAACGCTGCCCTTGAGTCCTTCCCTTTGGTATACCAGTAGTCTCAGGAGCTCTCATAAAGTGTCTTGCAGTATTGGCACCACAACTAAATACACAAGGAATACAGGTGGTGGTTGTCCCATCCTATACTCTTTGCTACCCTAGGACTAGAGATCAACAGAGAAAGCTAGCCTTGATTACCCAGAAAAATAATTTATAGAATTACTTTTAGACTCCTGAACAGCAGCAGCATACCCACCTTGAGCTTCAAATGAAGCCGTAACAGATGTCAAAACAGTTTTAAAATCAACTAGATAAAACAATAAACATGTACATAATGTTAGTAGATCACATGGCCTTGTGCAGCTTCCTCACCCAACTTGCCAGATTTCACTCTGGTTCATGCCCAAGTGGCTGAGATCAGTAACACTTCCAGCCAAGCATCACCTCAGAGTGCTAGTCCATGCTTCTAAAGAGGTCAAGATATGTCTACCTTTACATTATAGTGATGGGCACCTCTAATCTTGGCTGGGTAGCACATTTTGACTCTTGCTGTTTCCAGGATTTGGGGTCCCAAGAAGAGACCTCTTCACATAGCGATTTTGGGGAAGGGGGAGAAGTTAGCTTGTGTAGCATTTTTTTACCTCTGATCCATGACAAACTTTGCAGATAATAACAGACAATACAATGGTGATGTTTTATATGAACAGACAAGGTGGGCCAGGATCATCCCGTCTGTCAGAAAGTGGTCTGTCTGTGGAACTAGTTTACCAGTTCACTGGATTACTCTTAACAGCAGTCCCGCCTGCCAGGATTACAGAACAAAGTCGCAGATTGCCTAAACAGTTTGCAGAAGACCATATGTGATAAGATCCTGTAATTCAGAGACTTTCACAGCTGTAGACATCCACACATGGGCTTGTTTTGTGCAGGTAACCAATGAATAGTGTTCTGCCTTTTTACTCCAGAAAAGTTAGAGCCCAGAATCCCAACTGGGCAGTTGTTTTGTTCTGGATCCGATGTCTGATGTATGCATCCTCTACAAGTCCCACTTGTAATGAGTGGTTCTCAACCAGGGTGCTGTGGCACCCTGAGGTGCCTTGAGATCCTTTCAAGGGTGCCATGAAATGTTAGCACTGTTAGGTGTGCAAACATAATTCACAAGATAAACTGAGATTTCAAATAGGAGTCCATAGTGTTCAAAACATTTGGACTTGTTGTGGTCTTTTTGAGTTTTTTACAGCAGAATTTCTCTATTTATCTGTAGTCCAAAAATGAGGAAAAACTAAGAGCTGGCATTTTCCAAGGGGTGCCTCGAGCCTGTCATGGTGTGCCTTGAAACAATCAAAGGGTGTCTTGAGTCTGAAAAGGTTGAGAACCACTTTTATAGGCAGACTGACAAAGTATACAGGGTTAAGTGGAAGGAGGGGGGACACGCTGCAGACCGCTTGATGTGTGGTAACAATTTCTTGTGTTGATTCTGTGCCACAGGATGTGCATCCTAGACTGTGGCAATTTTAGCTGTTTTGTTCAGGACTAAACTAGCTAAAGCTTTAGCCTTAAGCATATAGGGTGCATGTTTACCAAGAATGAACTATTCTTTTGTTTGCATTGAAAATATTTGGACAACTGCCTCTAAGAGCCACAGTCAGTGTAACTCAAGCAGCTGTTCTGTTCTGTGGGGGTTCCTGTTGCGGTAGTGCCCCCTAGTGGTTATTCTCCTGAATTACTTTTATTCCTGTTTAAAGTAATCCCTGAAGATCTTTTTACCGACTGCCTTTACTTTCAGTGGAAAAGGTAGCTTCATAAACTAATTTACATTTAACAAGTATTTCTAAATGTTTGCCTTTACATCTTGAATGTCTTCTCCATTACATTTTGTCCAGAGTTGTGTCTATATTTTGATAGATGTCTGCTTCCTAGCAAGTAAAATACTGATGTTTTGTATAATATTTACTTTTTTTAATACAGAACTTTATTTACAAGAAACATTTAAGCCTTTAGTGAACATCTCCCCAGATGCAAGGTAAGCATTTGCATTTCATTTTTGTTTAATTCAGAATTTCTGCAGTTGATGTACATGTAATTAGTCCTTGGGCCTTTTTTTTATTTGGGTTAAATAGAAACAAGGTTTGTATTTGTGAATTACAGTAAATTCATGAAGAATGGAAACACTGTTTATGTGTGTTTAATTGACTCCAACTACAAACTGGCCCAAAATCAGAGATGACTGCTGTTGGGGATACTGTATTGTACTGCAATTTGGAAACTTGCTCCACATCTTCTAATTCCTACCCATAAGTCAAGGAGGGAATGGATTTGATGACGCCATTTCATTCTTAGGAGAACTCTACATGGTTCAGTCATTTACGTACACTGCAATGCAGTCACAAGTCTCAGGTTAGCTTTAACTGAGCTAGCTTGTTTACTAGAAGCAGAGTAGCTCTAGCCAGGCTCTGTGTGTGCGTGTGTGTGTGTTCCTGAAATACAGTGAGAAGCCGGATAAACTAAGAGCCTTATGTTGCCCCAAACGAAATGCCTAAATTGGCTCTTTTATACTGTGCTACAGTCTGCAACATAGACAATACCCTCAGTTTGGGTATCCTTTTTCTGGTTTGCTTGGGATCCAGAAGGAGACAGACTTGTGCCACTCCTTGTGGGTTGAGACTTAGTACAGTTCTAGTCCCTGAAACGTCCTTGGATTGTATTTTATGTAATTATCTGAGTTGGAAAAGCAGATACTGAAGGGATGATTCTTGCATGCTTTCCTTGGCTGTTCCTAATTACTAAAGAATATTTTTTTTATCTGTGCGCTGCTGTGATAAATGGATTGCTACTTTCTGCATCAGTGGTATACAAGTGCTAGCTTTCTGGAGGCTTGTCTTAAGCATTTGTTCCAGCAGTCTAGGAAATTACAAAGATTTAGCGTGTATTTTAAAATGTGTAATATCTTCTTCTTAAATGTTTACAACATAATCAAAGGAAATAAAAGAAGTTGCACCAGCATTCCTTAGTTCTTATTGATAATTTCAGAAGAAGTGGAGTTAGAGCAGGGGTGGGCAAAATAAAGCCTGCAGGCCAGATCCGGCCTGACAGTTGATGATATCTGGCCTGTGGCTGCCCCCACCCACTCCTGCCTGGAGCAGCCCATGCCACGCTCCCATCCCACCCCTGCCAACGGTACCACCCTGGCCCCGGCCAATGCGTACAGTTTCTCAAAGCCTGCTGCAGCTACCCAGGTACTGCTCGGTTCACCCTGCCTCCAGCAGCAGGTCCTCTTCCTGCCCCTGCTGCACCGTTCTGAGCAGCAGGTAGCATAGGGGCAAGTGCTGGGCAGCACAGGCACCTATACGTGTGACAGAGTGCTCCTATGACGTGCTAATTAGCATGCATTGGAGCAGACTCAAGTCTGCTGGAGCATGCTAATTAGCGTGCTCCAGGAACCTCCGCATCACGTGTATTCAGCATCCCCACATTTCAAAATGGCAGTGGGGGGTGCTTCAACTATAGCTCGCTGCTTGGCACAATGAGGCAGCCAACTGGGTGGAAGGCAGCTGGAGCTGGAGCCCCGCATGCTGGGGCAGGACCCATGTGGTGTGGGTGCCCTGGGCGGGAGCAGACACACATCAGCCCCATGTAGAGCACTGCAGGGGCAGCCATGGGCTGGATTTTGGGGAGTGGGCGCTGAACATGCTCCATACCTCCCAGCCAAACTCTGCTGCATGTGCCCCCTGGCCCCTCCCCCCCAGCCCTCCAGCCAGCTCTCGGGACCTGGCATGTGGGCTGTTATATGCAATATAACGTGTTATATCACCTCTAGATATACTACTCAAACAAACATAAATCACGTCACAAAATATTTTTTGAAGTAAAAATATTTTGTGGTAGATGTTTGATTTTTTAATGCGCAATTTGCTTTTTATCTCTAATTTGTTCAAATAATATCTTCTGAAACATTTTATGTGTGCAGCCCTTGACAGATCACCAGAACTCGTTAAGTGGCCCTCCAGTCAAAATAATTGCCCACCTCTAAGCTGGTGTTCAGAATACCAAAACGTTGTAGAGTAGGGGTTGGCAGCCTTTTGTCCCTGTGGATGACCAGCCCCCCTGCCATGGGCTATGAATCTCTGTGCACTCACCCCCGAAAAGCTCAAGCAACTTGCACTTAGTCTCACCACGCATGCCCAGCCCCTCTGCAGCAAAGGTAACGTTAAGGCACAAGGGAGCAGCAGGGAGCACTGCAGGGGGGATGGGCAGTTCAGCCCAATCCCTGTGCCTCCCCAGGCCGGGTGGGACATTCCCAGGCTGGATCCAATTTTCTTGCAGGCTGTAAGTTGCCAATCCCTATCACAGAGCCTCTTAGGACTAGGTCACGATTTCAAATAGAGTCAAACTGCCTTCTTGTACTTTTCCCTCCCCAGCCCCCAGTGATGATCAGATGAAATAAATACATAGGTGTCTTGTCTTCACATGGACAGCTGTCTATACAAGGCCTGTCCAACCCCTAAGCAACCGGGGGCCACACTACTATGAGCCACACACCCCTTGCTGCACCGTACACATGGGCATTCCCACCTCCCTACCCTGCACTGTGCCCTTGGGCAACACCCTGCCACTCTGCAGCGTGTGCACACGCTGCGCTGTGCACCCTGCTGACCCACCCCCTGGGACTGAAGCAGGAATCAAAAGCTGAAGCAAGGAGAGAGCCTAGAGACCACAGCTGCAGCAGCAGCCAGAGCAATAGCAGGAGAGGTGCGAGGTAGGAGCCTGGAGGCCTTACATGAATCCCTCGTGGTCTGCGTGAGGCGTGTAAGCTGCCAGTTGGACAGCTCTGGCCTGCATCATAAGGGGCAAATCCAGGAGCTATTTGGCACTTTGTCTGAAGGGGGCACAGGTTGAAACTTAATTGTTTTCACCCTGCAATATGATCCTTTCAACTCAGGGCTGAAGAACATCCAGTGCAAGAGAGTTGGATACTTTGCTTTGCCACTGTCTGTGCCTTTCTGTTTGAAGGACTTCTATTTGAATGCTTTTGAGCAAAATAGTCACTTCAAGTAAAAATGTAAACTGAAGAAATTGTGCACTCCTTCCTGTTGCAGAGGGCTGGTTACTGATTCTTTACTGATATCAAAGGTTCTCTGATCTGTTTGTGTATGTCTTCATGCATGTGGTTTTTTCTTAAGCAACCATGAAATTTGGTAGCTTTTCACTCTGCAAGTTCTCTAATTTCTCCAATATTTTGTTCTAATGTTAGTGTAAACAGTTAGTGACCCCATGCATTCTTTGTAGTCCCATTTCATTTTCAAAGTACCTGCTTTGAATTTCACAGTCAGAATTCATTAATGGATTTAATGTTTTTTCCTCAGCCTTTTTGATGCTGTATATTCATTGATCAAAAACAAAATCCACAGATTGCCAGTTATTGACCCTGTCAGCGGGAATGCACTTTATATACTTACCCATAAAAGAATCCTCAAGTTCCTCCAGCTTTTTGTAAGTAATCTAAAAAACTCCTTTGATTAACTGATATTAAATAGAAGTCTTTTAACATTCACAGTATAAGCCCTTGGCTTGGAAACTTGCTGATAGACTTTTTGACTTGACTTTGACTCTTTTCCTTCAGAAAGTCTGTGCATCTCTTTCCTGACAGCATAAAAGGGTATGCTCCTGCCTGTGAGTGTGAGAGAGCTGGCATAGATCATGGCTTCTCTCCTCTCTCCAGTAACAGTTCTGCAGAAAAATAACTTGTTCAACTCGCTGCTTTCCTCAAGTGCGCACTCTCCCCAGCAGAGAGACTTGGATCATGCAGAGCAGAGATGGTTCTTGTCACTCCTGAGCAGCTCCTCTAGTGTGGTTTCAGCAACAAGCACTGGTGACAGATCAGACCAGGAAATGACAATTCGAAGTAAACATACAGCCCAAAATAATATTCTTTAACCTTTCTTTTCCTGTTTTCCATCTCTGCGTTCAGTGGACTTAGAAGGCATGTAGTAAGGCAGCGGCCCTGGATTTTAGGAGGGCAAATTTCAACAAGCTAAGGAGGATAGTTGGGGAAGCACTGAGGTCCTGGAGGGGAGGGGAGGCAGGTGTCCAAGGAGAGTGGTTGCTCCTCAAGGAGATGATCCTCCAAGCTCAAAGGAAGGCAATCCCAAGGAGGATCAAAGGGAGCAGAAGGGCGCATAAGCCCCCATGGCTCACCAAAAGCATCCGGGAATGTCTCCTTGCTAAAAAGGTGGCTTACACCCAATGGAAAGAAGGGGTCATCACCAAGGAGGGCTATTCTGCAGTTGCTCGGGGATGTTAGGGGGTAGTTAGGAAGGCCAAAGCAGAGATGGAACTGGGACTAGCTTCCCAGATTAAGGACAATAAGAAGTATTTTTTTAAATACATAGGG